GTTGCTTACTTTCTTTATTCCTGGAATGCAAGGTGGTTTAACATATGCATAGTAATAAATATGATTCACCACATAAGCAGAATTAAAAGCAAAAACCATTATTATCATCTCAATAGAAGCAGAAGAAGCTTTCAAAAATATTCAACATCGCTTCATGGCAAAAACTCTCAACAAACTAGTCATTGAAGGAACATACCTGAAAATAATAAGCGCCGTCTATGACAGACCCACAGTTAACATCATACTGAATGGGCAAAAGCTGGAAACATTCCCCTGAAGAACAGGAACAAGACAAGAATGCCCACTCTCACCACTTCTATTCAACATAGTACTGGCAGTCCTAGCCAGAGCAATCAGGCAAGAGAAACAAAGACGAGATATCCGAATAGGAAAAGACGAAGTCAAGTTAGCTCTCTTCACTGTCGATATGATCATAACTAGAAAACCTTAAAGACTGCCAAGAGGCTCCTAGAACTGATAAATAATTTCAGCAGTTTCAGGATACAAAATCAATATACAAAAATTATTTTATATACCAATAACGTTCAAGCTGATGGCCAGATCAAGAATGCAATCCCATTTACAACACACACGCGCACCCCTCGGAATACTTATAACCAAGGGAATAAAAGATCTCTACAGAGATAACCTCAAACTACTGCTGAAAGAAATCATAGATGACACAAACAAATAGAATAACATTCCACACTAATAGGTTGGAAGAATTAGTACCATTAAAATGGCCATACTGCCCGAAGCAATCTACAGATTCAATGCCATTCCTATTACACTTTCAATGTTATTTTTCACACAGAAAAAAAAACTATTCTAAACTCATATGGAATGCAAAACCAGCCCCATTAGCCAAAGCAATCAAAAAAAAAAAAAGGCAGAGTCATCACATCACCCGACTTCCAGCTATTCTATAGTAACCAAAGCAGCATGGTACTGGTACATAGTGAGAACATGCAGTATTTGGTTTTCTGTTCTTGAATTAATTGGCTTAGTATAATGACTGGAACAAAATAGAGAACCCAGAAATAAACTGCACATCTGCAGCCATCTGATCTTTGACAAAGTTGACACAAATAAGCAATGGGAAAAAGTACTCCCTATTCAATAAATGGTGATGGTATAGCTGGCTATCTATATGCAGAACAAGAAACTGGACCCTTAACTTTCACCATACAAAAAAATCAACTCGAGATGGATTGAAGACTTATTTATTTTTTTATTTTTGAGGAGTTTCGCTCTTGTTACCCAGGCTGGAGTGCAGTGGCAGCATCTCTGCTCACTGCAACCTCCATCTCCTGGGTTCAAGCAATTCTCCTGCCTCAGGCTCCCGAGTAGCTGAGACTCAGGTGTGCGCTGCCACACCCAACTAATTTTGGTATTTTTAGTAGAGATGAGGTTTCACCATGTTGCCCAGGATGGTCTCGAACTCCTGACCTCAGGTGATCCAGCTGCCTTGGCCTCCCAAAGTGCTGGGATTACAGGCTTGAGTCACCATGCCTGGCCAGATTGGAGGTTTATTTATTTATTTATTTATTGAGACGAAGTTTTGCTCTTGTTACCCAGGCTGGAGTGCAATGGCACGATCTCGGCTCACCGCAACCTCCGCCTCCTGGGTTCAGGCAATTCTCCTGCCTCAGCCTCCTGAGTAGCTGGGATTACAGGCACGCCCCACCACACCCAGCTAATTTTTTTTATTTTTAGTAGAGACGGGGTTTCACTATGTTGACCAGGTTGGTCTCGATCTCTCGACCTCGTGATCCACCCGCCTCGGCCTCCCAAAGTGCTGGGATTACAGGCTTGAGCCACCGTGCCCGGCCTGGAGATTTAAATAGAAGACCTCAAACTATAAGAATCCTAGAAGAAATTTTCAGAAAATGCATTCTGGACATTGGCCTTGGGAAAAAAATTTTAACAAGTCCTTGAAAGCAATTGTGACAAAATAAAAAATTGACAAGTGAGACCTAATTAAACTAAAGAGCTTCTGCAGGGTAAAAAGTAACTATCAACAGAGTAAACAGACACCTACAGAATGGGAGAACATAGTTGCAAACTGTGTAGCCAACAAACATCTGACATCCAGAATCTATAAGAAACTTAAACAATTCAACAAGCTGCCGGGCGCGGTAGCTCAAGCCTGTAATCCCAACACTTTGGGAGGCCGAGGCGGGTGGATCACGAGGTCGAGAGATCGAGACCAACCTGGTCAACATAGTGAAACCCCATCTCTACTAAAAATACAAAAAATTAGCTGGGCGTGGTGGTGCGTGCCTGTAATCCCAGCTACTCAGGAGGCTGAGGCAGGAGAACTGCCTGAACCCAGGAGGCGGAAGTTGCGGTGAGCCGAGATCGCGCCATTGCACTTCAACCTGGGTAACAAGAGCGAAACTCTGTCTCAAACAAAACAAAACAAAACAATTCAACAAGCAAAAACCAAATAACCGCATTGAAAAGTGGGCAAAGAACATGAACAGACATTTCTTAAAAGAAGACGTACAAGTGGCCAACAAACATAAAAAAATTATCAGCATCACTAATTGTCAGAGAAATGCAAATCAAAACCACGATGAGATACCATCTCACACCAGCCAGAATATCAATTATTAAAAGTCAAAAAGTGGATGGGTTGCTGGGTGGACCGGTCATGGAGAAGAGAGGAGAGTAGCGGGCCACTGAATAAGCTAAAATGCTGCCCACACCAGTTATCTTGTTGAAAGGGGACTGATAGCTCCCAAGGCTTCCCCAGCTTGTGAATAACATTAGTGCCTGCCAGGTGATTGATAAAGCTGTAAGAACCACCCTTGGTGTCAATGGCATGGATAAACTTATTGTGGATGGCAGAGGCAAAGTGACGATTTCTAATGATGTGGCCACAATTCTGAAAATTCTTGATGTTGTCCATCCTGCACCAAAGACTTTAGTGGACATTGCCAAATCCCAAGATGCTGATGTCGGTGATGGCACCACCTCAGTGACCTTGCCGAGTTTCTGAAGCAGGTGAAACTGTAGGTGAAGGAAGGTTAACACCCAAGCTTATTATGTGAAGTTTCTGCACAGCCACCCAGCTGGCAGTTAACAAGACTGAAGAGATGGCTTTGACTGTGAAGAAGGCAGATAAAATGGAGCAGAGGAAGCTGCTGGAATTGTGTGCCAGGACTGCTCTGAGCTCCAGGCTGATCTCACAGCAGAAAGCTTTCTTTGCTAAGATGGTGGTGGATGCAGTGATGATGCTTGATGATTTGCTTCAGTTTAAAATTATTGGAACCAAGAAGCTACAGGGTGGAGCCCTCGAGGATTCTCAGCTGGTAGCTGGTGTTGCATTCAAGAAGACTTTCTTTTATGCTGAGTTTGAAATGCAACCCCCAAGAAACACCACAGTCCTGAGATTGCCCTTTTGAATGTCCAGCTCGAGTTGAAAGCTGAGAAAGATAATGCTGAGGTAAGAGTCCACACAGCTGAGGATTATCAGGCGATTGTTGATGCTGAGTGGAACATTCTCTATGACAAGTTAGAGGGGATCCATTATTCTGGAGCCCACATTGTCTTGTCCAAACTCCCCACTGGGGATATGGTCACCAGTACTTTTCTGACAGGGACATGTTCTGTGCTGGCCGAGTACCTGAGGAGAATCTGAAGAGGACAATGATGGCCTATCCAGACCAGCGCGAATGCTCTCTCAGCAGATCGATGCTCTCTTAGCTGGGTCGATGCCACATGTTTGTAGAGACCCAGATTAAAAGTGAGAGGTACAGTTTTTTTACTGGCTGCCCCAAGGCCAAAACATGCACCTTCATTCTCCATGGCGGTGCCGAGCAGTTTATGGAGGAGATAGAGTGGTCCCTGCATGATGCCATCATGATCATCAAGAGGGCCATCAGGAATGAGTCACTGGTGGCTGGTAGTGAGGATGTTAAGAGGGAGCTCTCCAGGTACTTTTGGGATTCCTCAAGGACTATCCCAGGAAAACAGCAGTTGTTGATTGGGGCATATGCCAAGGCCAAACCTCAGTGTCATACAATATACCCGTATACCAAAACTGCACATTTACTCCCTGAATCTCAAATGTTAAAATTATAAAAAGGAGAAAACCCAATTATATTAACATGTTTCTCTTACAGTCCTGTTTTAAAAATAACTAGACTTTTCTGTTACTGCATAGATACCTTAGCTTGAAAAATAAAAATAATAATAATAAAAAAAGAGGCCAGGCACGGAGGCTCATGCCTGTAACCCCAGTAATTTGGGAGACTGAAGCAGGAGGATCACTTGAGCCCAGGAGTCTGAGACCAGCCTGGGCAACATAGTGAGACCCACATCTCTATTTAAAAATCTAAAAATTAGCTGGCTGGGGTGTTGCACGCCTGTGGTCCCAGCAGCATGGGAGGCTGAGGCAGGAGGATGATTCAGCCCAGGAGTTCAAGGCTGCAGTGAGCTGTGTTCATACCACTGTACTCGAGGCTGGGCAACAGAAAAACAGAGAAAAGACCCTGTCTCAAAAACGAACAAAACACACACACACACACAAAGTCCCCACCAAATCTATTGCACCATCAGCCATATCTTTAGTTCTGCTTATTAGATACAATTTTCTTCTGCTAGCAAGTATTTAAAAATTGTTATCTGTTTTTTAAATATATAAAATATCTTCTTATTGAAGTGACAGATGCATTGAATTGTTACTTTTATTTTTGTTGAAACTATGAAGAAGAAATTAGGAAGACTTTAGGTTTAAAATGAAAGACAGATTACGTATATTATATTCTTGGGAAACTGTGAAAATAAAATAAAGGAATAAAACTGAAAAAATACCTGCCAATTTTATCCAGTTGTGTGATTATGATAGAAGGGATAGTCTGAAAACAGTTGCAAATACGTTTATAATTTGTAAAGATCTGATAAAAATTACCAGATAATAAGAATTTACAACCATATCCTCATTGAGAATGGAGGAGAAAAAGAAAGATTTCCACATCACATTTACTTTATAAACATGTTTGGTGTGTCTGTTTTAAAGTAAAAACAACAACAACAAAAACAAATAAAACAAAAAACTAGTAACACACACTTCTTTTTCATTTAGTTTTAAAGTGTTTATCAGAAAAGAACTACTTGTGGCTGGGCTTGGTGGCTCATGCTCTATTCCCAGCACTTTGTGAGGTCAAGTGGGCAGATCATTTGAGGTCAGGAGTTCGAGACCCACCTGACCAACATGACAAAACCCTGTCTCTACTGAAAATCTGAAAATTAGCCAGGTGCAGTGGCTCGTGACTGTAATCCCAGCACTTTGAGAGGCCGAGGAGGGCAGATCACATTAGATCTATAGTTGGAGACCAGCCTGGCCAAAATGGTGAAACCCCATCTCTACTAAAAATACAAAAATTATGTGGGCATGGTGGCTGGTGCCTATAATCTCGGCTACTTGGGAGGGTGAGGCAGGAGAATCGCTTGAGCCTGGGAGGTTGAAGTTGCAGTGAGTTGAGATCACACCACTGCACTCTAGCCTGGGTGACAACAGTGAGACTCCATCTCAAAAAACAAACAAACAAAAAACAATGTGATAATTTTTCTGTGGTCAGAGTTTCTGAGCCATGAGTGTCGGTTCTGGCATCACCTCCCAGTGCTGAGAACTCCCCGAGCCAGTGATTGCAGTCTCCCATTGAGAGCTTCCTGAAATACTTTTCCAGCCCTCTGTCTTTCTTCCATGTCTCCTGGATCTTGCTGGCTTCATGATTAATTGCTGTCCAGGTCATGTTCATCGCATCAAAGAGGAGGGATTCCTCTCCACTAATGACAAACTGCCAGGACGCACCAGTGCATCATTCTGCTTCACGCTGACAAAACATCTTGGCCTGCAGAGTGGAAGGACCTGCAATCCAGACACAAAGCCATCATCCTCACTCTTAAGAGGTCCATCATCTTCCAACAGGTCAAGAAATGCAGCACATTTAGGGGCCTGCATTTCTACCTGGACTTGTCCTTTCTTGCCCGTTGGGTCCTATGTGCTTCTATGATTGGGCCAGTGATCAATACACAAATACACCTAAAGCCCCTCCCCACCTGTGCTCTTCCCTCTCCCCTCTTGCTGCCTGCCTCCACTTCTGCACTCCATTCCACACTTACCTCTGGTGTTTATCTGTGGTTTGATGTCAAGAAGGACCATCCAGAGGTTCACCCCACTTCTAGCTTTTGGGTCAATTCTCTGCATGTGCTGGTGGCATTTACCTTCTTCCCCAGGAGGCCCACAGGTTTGACCATGTTGCTGTCACTGTTGTACTGAAGGAAAAGATTTTTATTCATGAAGACCTGCGCTTTGCACCAGGGCTGCCCTGGTCTGGACCATGATTTTATAGCAAAGTCAAAGCAAAGAGAGTGAGCACCTGTGAGAGAAAAATGCAGGTGAGGTCCAGGACAGGGAAAGAGGCCCATTAGAACCTGTGCTTCTGTGACCCCAGACTTCCTGGACCGGGCCAGGCTGGCAGAGGGGACGGCTCCATCCCAGAATCCTTCAACCTTCCAGATCTCTGCTCCCGTCTCCCCTTGACTCTCTCGGGGGAGATACTTGATGATACCAGGGACCTCTGGGGTCCACTTAGTGTTAACAGCATTAACAGGAGAATTCCTGTCACAAATACTTTTAGCAACATCTGCCAAGTTCCGAGGTACAAAACAGACAAGCCAGTGTGTGACCTCCTGAGACTTCAAATCCAGCTGAACACATAGGACATTCAACAAAAAGGAAAAAGAGGCATTTATTATGGGACACATACCAAATTTCTCCTGGGTCCTCGGTGTTCAGGAAAGGGTCCTGGAGTAGAAGGTGGGAGGTAGCACTGTAGAGCTGTCACCTGTGAGCCAGTGCCTGGCCTGGGATCTCAGGCTGCGGTCTCCCACAAACTACGAGTAACGTCCCAGGGATCCTCTTCCTCACCTCATCCTTTAAGAGCAGGTACCCACTTGCCTGAAGCCTGCATGAAGCCCCAGTCACCTACCCCCCACCTTTCTCCCTCCTCCTCCCTGTCCTCAGCCCGGTCTTGTGATCTCAGGACACTCACCAACCCCAATCCCCAAGGCTGTTAGTAGCAACAGTAGATGGCAAAGAAGGTGCACAGGGTGAGGAGTCAGGGACATTCTTGGCACACTGGAGAGTAACAGGCAAGAAGCGGGGCGGGCATACATACACCCTCACTGGAATAATGAAGAAATGTTGTCCAACAGTGTGGCCGTGGGCACTGCCCAACAGAGGCACAACAAAGGACAGGCCTGTAGAGACCCAATTAAAGAAGAACTTTGTGAAGCGAGTGTTTTTCAAATGTTCAAAATATAATTATTTATTGAAAAATAACAGGAGACATTTGAAAACAAAATTAACTTTGAATAAACTCTCTCTCCTCTCCTATCCCCAATGCCCCTGCAAAAAACCCCCTCTGGTGTGAGCAGGATGGTTGGAGGTTATGTGAGCTCCTTCTCCCTTCCTCCAATTTCCTCTTCCCTCCCCCTCCCTGCCTCTTTTGCTTTTCCTTTTCTTCCTTGTGCCCCTCCCCCTTCCTGTATTTTTCTCCCATCTCCATTCTCCCCTCTCCCATTATTCGTAACCCATTCAAACTCTGTCCTCTTAAAGGGTTGAGATTTTCTCTCACCCCCAAGCACGCCCCAATATTAATCAAACTAGATGTAAACAACCAGCAACTGGTCTACCATTACAGACGGGGTTTCACCACCTGAGTGCCTGCTTGCCTCCTTCACTCCCAAACATGCACACGTTCCCTCTGCACTGGTGTTCGGAACACCGGCCACCGTCCTGTCTTCTCTAGGATGGAGAGGCTTGAGGTGACTGCTTTCTCAGAGTCTGGGCAAACTGTCTCAGGAGCAGAAACCAGCTCAGTCCCCCTGGGGACGGAGAGGCCTGCCTAGCAGAACACCTACCCACCACGTAAACCCGGTGGCATCACCTGTCAACTGTCTCTTGTGAGTCATTCTAGGCCTGCCTAGCAGAACACCTACCCACCACGTAAACCCGGTGGCATCACCTGTCAACTGTCTCTTGTGAGTCATTCTAGGATAGTGTTCCTTGATCAGTACTGGATTCGTCATCGGTGAACAGACCAAGACCAGGCTCAAGTCCCAGCCATGAAATTCTAGAAAGGATTTAGTGTAATTTTAGCAGTTGTTGGAGACCAGCATGTAATAGCATACATATGTTTTCCTTGATATGTAGGTAGAGGGCCCCACCTTTTTTCAGGATTTAGGCTTCTGCAGGTCCTGGCATAGAGGTGACAGCAGCCCTACTTCGTGTCTGGAGGGTGCTGGTGCCCTCTACCGCCTGGTTTCTGTGCAAACACTTTAGGATCATCCTGCTCTCTAGAGGCCTGGAGCTCCTGCCCTTGAACCGAGCTCGCATTCCCACTGTTTCATTGAACCTCGCTGTTTCCTTCTTGTAACTCCATCCTCCTCCACAACTGGAAGACCAGCTCTTCTCCTGCGTCTTCCTTGAAAGACACCTGCCCACTTCCTTACAAAGCCCCCACCAAAGTGACACCAGCTACTTTTGAATATATCCAACTTCACTGAAGATTTAGAGGTTATGTTGTAAGGCTGTGAAGAATTTTTTTAAAAATCACCTGTTAGCTGGACCTCTTTCCTATCTCTTCTTTGAACTAGAAATAAAACGTCTATTATTTGACCACACCATCATCTAGTACCCAACCCTGATTCTTGGCCACCGTCCTCCTGGCCAGGGTGATTGCAGTCCAGTGGGTGATTGTGTCACCTGTATGACACAAACTATCTTTTGCCCTAAAGTTTAGTTCTTCAGTTATCTAGTTTCCCTTTGTAGATTAAAAATTACAAGGAGTTGGCGACCAGCTTTCCTTCTTGTCCAGGTCTGTTCTATATGGTGACTGGAGAGCGACAGATACCCCGTGAATGCTAATTGAATGCCTGGGTGGACAAATGGATGGATGAACAGAAAGGTGGGAGGGGAAGTGGACGGGTGAGTAGGTGGTTGAAGGAATGATAGTAGATAGGTGGGTAATTTGGGTGGTGGATGGATAGGTAGGTGGATAAGACGGTGAAGGGGTTGCCAAGCTCAGAGAAAGGCCCAGCCTACTTGGCCCCGTACCTGTCCCCAGCTGCCAAATGGCTACTGACAATAGAGCAGCCAGAGTGATCCTTCCGAACCTCACCACGCACGTCCCTCCTGTGCTGCAAACCCTCCCAAAGCGCCCCTTTTCTCTCAGTAAAACCAAAGTCACCAGTGACGCCTAGGGAACCCTGTGCAGCCTGGCCAGCTGTCCTCTACGCTGCCCCCTCGCCGCTCAGCTACAGCCCCCACCCTTGGCCTCCTCGGCCTCCTCACTGGTCTTCAGAGCCCTGCAGTTGTCCCCGTGCCCAGGACTTTGCATTACCCTCCCCTCAGCATGCACTGCTGCTCAGGCATCTGCCGGGCTCACTCCCACACCTGCTCCAGGTGCATCCTTCCATGCCTGCCCCTCCCGTTGGAATCCTTTTATTAATTTCCTTCTTTCTTTCCTCTTTAAAATTGTGGTATAATTCATGTAACATGAAATTTTTCATCTTAATCATTTTTAAATGTAGAGGCACCTATTTCCTAGTGCAAGACCTCTGCCTGGCCAGGCAATCCTGGACCTTCTTCACCTGAACTTTTTCCCTCTAAAGCAATGACCACTTTAAAACATCTTATTAAGCCCAGTTCAGTGGCTCATGCCTGTAAATCAACATTTTGGGAGGCCAAGGCAGGTGGATGACCCAAGGTTGAGAGTTTAAGACCAGCCTGGCCAACATGGTGAAATTCCGTCTGTAATAAAAATGCAAAAATTAGCTGGGTGTGGTGGCCAGTGCCTGTGACCCCAGTACTCGGGAGGCTGAGGCAGGAGAATCGCTTGAACCCAGGAGGTGGAGGTTGCAAACAAAACAAAACAAAACAACACAACCCACAAATGTGTTGTCTTACCATTCTGGAGATCTGAAGTTGGAATGGGTCTTGCTGGGCTAACATCACTGCACTGTCAGGGCTGTGTTTCTTTGGGAGGCTCTTTGAGAGAACTGTCTCCTGCTTGCTGTTTCCACCTTCTCCAACTGCCCACATCCATGGCTCAGAGCCCATTTCCCCACCTTCAAATGGAGCTCCACCAGGCTGGATCCTAAGGGTGCCCCCCCATCTCGTTCTCCCTCTTCTGTCTGCCTCTTTCTCTACAAAGATCCTGTGATTACATTGGACCCCCAGGGAAATCCAGAAAATCACCCATCTCCAGGGCAGATTATGAGCAATCTCGGTTCCATCTGCAGCCTTCACTCCCCTTTCCATGTAACCCAGGGAAGAGGTTCCAGGGATTCATACCCGGCATCCTCTGGGAGTGGCGAGAGGGGGTGGAGGTGGCAGGTAATTATTCTTTGCTACACATATACCATATAATTTATGTATAGATCATTTTTTTTCTTTCTTTTCTTTTCTTTTTCTTTTTTTTTTTTGAGATGGAGTCTCACTGTGTCGCCATTCTGGAGTGCAGTGGCATGATCTCGTCTCACTGCAACCTCCTCCTGGGTTCAAGCAATTCTCCTGCCTCAGCCTCCCCAGTAGCTTGGACTACAGGTGCCCACCACCATGCCTGGCTAATTTTTGTATATATATATATATATTTTAGTAGAGATGGGGTTTCACCATGTTGGCCAGGATGGTCTTGATGTCCTGACCTCGTGATCCACCCACCTTGGCCTCCCAAAGTGCTGAGATTATAGCTGTGAGCCACCAGTATATATCATTTTTATACCACAAAGATGGGGGAAGGAGCAAAGCAATACTGGAGCAGAGATTTTCCATCGTGTTAAAATTAAGTTGGTTTTAATACAATCTAGGCTGTAGTAATTAAGATATTATTTAGAATCCCTAGAAATGACTAAGAAAATAACTTTTTTTAAAAATAAAAAAGGCAAAAGAGACAATAAAGAAAGTGAAATGATGCAGTAGAAATATATGTTTAACATAAAAGAAAGCAATAGTGGTGGAAAAGATGAACAAAACCACATCGGGCATAGGGAAAACTAAGAAAAAGGTGGCAGATGTAAATTCCATTCTACCTTAGCAGTGATTCCATTACATGTCAAAGTGCTAAACATTCAAAAGAAAAAGCAAAGATTCTCAGAATGCATTAACAAATGATCTAAAGATACAGTGTAGATCCAAAGATACAAGTAGTTTAAATGTAAACATATGGAAAAGATAAAACACATCAATAGTAAACAAAGACAACTGAAATTGCTATTAATAACGTCAGGCAAAATCATCTTTAAGACAAACAATTTTCTAAACACTCTAAAGACCAATTAACGAAAGGGAAACTCACAAGGAAAATTAGAAAATACTTCGAGATGAATAGAAACAAATACATAGCATATTACAGCTTATAAGAAGAAGATAAGGCAGCGCTTCAAGAAGAACTTGCTGCTGTAAATGCCAATATATTGAGAAAGAAAAGGATAAAGAAAGGATTATCTCAAGTTAATAACTTGACATTTCAGTTTAACAAACATAAAGAGCAAAGCGACCTAAGCCCCAAATAAGCAAAAGGAAGGAAATAAAAATTGGAGTGTGAATAAATGAAATAACGAGTAGAAAAACATTGGAGAACTCAATAAAACCAAAAGTTGGTTATTTGAAAAGATCAACCAAATTGACAAACCCTAAGCTAAAATGACTAGGAAAACAGTGGAGGGGGATACTCAAATTACTAATACCAGGAATTAAAAAAGAAATATCACCACCAACTTTATAGAAACAAAAAGGATTGTAAGGGAATACTATGTACAACTGTATGCCAATGAATTCAAGAACCTGGATGAAATGAACATCTTTCTTTTCCATTTATGATTGAACCACTTTTGATACAATTAAATAATAAATGGAAAAACGGACTAAAAATATTACAACTAAAGACACTGAATTACTCATTTAAAAACATTTTAAGCGACAGGGTCTCACTGTGTTGCCCAGGCTGGTCTTGAACTCTTGGGCTAAATAAATGATTAGACATCCTGTGTTCCAATAGATAGGAAACGTAATATTGTTAAGATGGCAATAACCCTGAAGCTTATTGAATTGACAGACTCATTGCAATCCGTATTAAAATCTCAGCTGACTTTTCTGCGGAAATTGTCAAGCTGATCCCACAACTTCCACAAAAACAGAATTGTCAAACCAATCTTTAAAAAGAAAAGCAATGCCGGAAGACTTACACTTTCCAATTTCAAAACTTATTACAAATCTATAGTACCCGAGATACTGCCAGGACTCGGTTTCT